GCATTGACCTCGTGACTCCGAAAAAAATCGGCTCAAAACCGCGCGGCGAATCACACACCATAGACTAGAAACAGTTTGAACAATTTCATACTTACTAAAACAACGATTCTTTGGTCGATTTTTTTTTTTACTATAAATACACAACAATAAATAACGAGGAGAAATATCCGGTTAAATAGACCAATTCTTCTTATATAATTGACGCGATAATATTAAATTAATGTAAAATACGCGACTTGAACGACACACATTATTATGACAAAAATCTTTAGGAAATAATAGACGACAGAAGACACTGTACCTTATTTAAACCAACAAAATTTAATAATAAATCTAAAACATTTATAAAACTCTAAAAATAATAATTGTATATAATAGATAACAGAAATGCTAACCAATCGAAAATACATCAAATGATTAATTGATACGATCTGTTATAGTAAAAAAAACACCTAAAATTCATCGTAACAGTGAATTCCGATTCATAGAAATAAAATGAACTTCACCACTTCTTTATAATTTCTTCGGACCGCTGAGGTTTTTTATTAATGAAACTCAAATTTATCTTATTCTTTATTCTGGCTAATTTTTAATTCCAATTATTGAAACAAATCAATATTTAAATGCTTAATTACGTTTACGAAATCATTACCTCAGCTACAATTCAAGATTTATTATAAAGAAGTGGTGAATATGGTACGAAGGACAATACAACAGGTAAAAACCGCCCCCTTACACAATAAATGCATCAGTTACCTTAATGATAATATAGATTGGAAGAAAGCAATTTAATATAATTAATAATCGCGCTCAAACTTTATTCTGCCGATTAGAAATTTACAATTAAGTTTGATTGTTCAAAAGGTAGGTAAAATTCTTCCTCGTATAGAACAAAATTTGTAACAAAAATATACTTATTCTATGAGTGACGTCAGCAGATTATGCCTTAAAAATTAACGTTAATAATTATCATCTTAAACGATATGAAAGTTTTCAACCGAAGCCTAAATTAATAAATAGAGAGAAGAAACATTTCGTATCAATGAAATATATCAATAGATTTTAGGCACCATTATATTACATCATTCCATATTTATATCTAAGTGCATTATATACCTTTAAGGCGAGGGATTATGGGTAGGTTGCTTTTACGGCTGTCAATCGAGTCGTTAGGGTGTGGACGCTGTCACGAGAGGGGGCGGAAGCGGATGGCTGATAATTTTTATCGTAAGATGACAGGCTTGTCACGTATGGCACCAAAAGCTGGGTGAAGATGTGAGAGGGATAGAAATATTTTCATTTGCTAAATATACTTCAACCAGCTTTTAGTGCCAAACGTGACAAGCCTGACATCTTACCTCAGGGCCAAATATGATACAGTGATCACTATATTGTATACTTTATAATATGTTATTTTCATATGTTTCAAAGATAAAGTTCGTTCCTGTTATTTTGTTAAACATCATAAAAGATTTAAATTACTAACTTTGTTTAGTTGTTCGTATTTTTTTTTTTACTTTTTTAAAAAAGGTTTCATTTTAACAATAAGTCTATTTGCATACACGATGTTTTCATCATGAATGAATGAATGAATGAATACTTTATTGTCCACCACACATAAAAGAATACACAAATTAACAATATACAAACAAATTAATAGAATGGACAATTTGGCGGCCTTATCGCTTCATAGCGATCTCTTCCAGGCAACCAATGGCGTAAAGGAACGTTTACTACGTAGGTGGTGCAATATTATATATATATATATATATATATATATATATATATATATATATATATATATACACTAGACCTCAAGCAATATAATCATAACAATATAGACATGAATAATGTAGTATTTAATCCTAACGATACTCGAGTGACTGAGACAGATAATGCTCTTTAACTAATTTCTACTTTTAACTTTCTAATCAAGGAATATAACACATAATAAGTAGTGAATTTAGTAATTAAACATTTTCGTCGGAATTCTAATCTGTCATCATTCTAAACTACCCTCCAACTACCCCCATCTCGTCACAGCGTACACGGCCTTACGTCTGAACTGATGCAATTCCTTTAGGAACTAGTGCACGTGCAAAATTATTTATATCTGTGTCGTTTAAAAGCTTACAGAGTAAACATTTGCGCTTTGTATTTCTTATTCCTAGCTAATTCAATTTATTACACGATGCTATCGGGCGAAATGTTAAAGCATCGCAATCGTTTTTCTATTTAATAAATTTCACCTATGTGTTTATAAACTTTATAATCGAGTTCTAAAAAAATGTTGAGGAACGATGATGACAGAGCGGGATTGGTGAGAAACGAATCTTTTTCGTGAATTGTTAAAAATAATTACTACCTTCAAAGAGTTTCTACCCGGTAATTCTATGATCAGGGTTAGTTTAGTTAACCGGAGGTAGTTTTTGTTGGATGTGCAATAAGAGCTTATATTAATAGACTCATTTGTAAAAGTTTTGAGCATTTAGCAAGTAGTTTTATTTTGTAAATGTTCGATTTATTTCCAAATAAAGACTATTACTGTTCAGCGATATACTGTGACACAAATCACATATATATATATATATATATATATATATATATATATATATATATATATATGTATATATATATAATAGACAGGTGATTAGTCAATTGTATTGACGTAAGAGAAGAGTCCATGATAAGCGAACAAATATGACAACGTAGATGAGTTTAAATAACATGATTCATTTCGCACGCGTCAGTTTTCCGTTTAGGGATATCTATAGCTATTTGCAAAGTGCGTCAACGCTCCTCAACATACTAAATAATGTAGTAAGTAAGTGGACTATGGTAACAAAAACGATAAACTGTATGCACAGCCCACAAAGTTACAGTTTGTGCTATACGGTGTCAATGTACTAGTTAAGTAGACGTCTTATGCCCGCTTCCTATATTCAACGGACGGCCGTTAGTTACATAGCTTCGTAAGTTTCATAACGACTTGTAGATAAAAGGCGTGTACGCCCGGTTCCTATATTAACAAAATGAGGAGTTTTTTTTACGAGCCGTTGGATTACCTACGGAAAGTGAGTTACTGGCGTTAGTTTAATCTACAAGTGGTTATGTAGGTTACGAAGCTAGGTAACTAACGGCCGTTCGTTGAATATTGGAACCGGGCATAAGCCGCGTTATCTAGACTAAAGGCCCATTTACACGGTGCCAGTTTCTTGCCTGTTGTATACAATTAAATTGAAGCAATAAATAAGTTGCATGGTCTAAACAACAAATGGTCTAACCAATTATTGCGCGCAATTTATTGCATTCAATTATTGCTCTTGCATGTACAAGAAAATGGCATCGTGTAAATGGGCCTTTACTAACGGGAGCGACTTAGTTGACCAGATATTGGGGTCCGGATATCACCGAGCTTAACGAATAAGAGTGGTCGAGATTTAAAGCCACGATCTCGGATTGCGAATCGATGGGTGAGCAATGAGTAGTTATAGGGCTATATAGTTATATCCGTGCAAGTCTTACGTTAATAAATAAATAAATAAATATTTTTAGGACACATTTTTACACAACGTTCTCTAGTACCAAACTAAGCAACGCTTGTACTATGGGTACTAGAAAACTGATAAACATACTTAAACATAATTTTCTTTTGTAAATAAATACATATTATACATATATAAACACACAGACACTACAAAAACGCTGTGTTCATCACACAATATTTCTCCAGTAGTGGGGATCGAACCCACACCTATATATAAAGGTCTTTTCAAACATAAATTTTTATCAATAAATCCTATTTTACATTGATCACTTTTTACCGATAAGTTTTTTTTTTAAATCGTTAATGTTTGATTGTTAGTTTTAATCAAAAATGTAAATGATAATATTAGAAAAATGTTTAGTGCTTGCACGGATATAATTATATAGTATGACAAGCCTCACTCGTCTATATGAAAAATCACACTTTACGAAAATTGACGAAATTATATCTTCGGAATTGACAAATCATTTGAGGTAGAAAAACTCTTGATTAGAATAATTTTAATAAACTATTGGGGGGATAGGGCCAACGTGCTAGATGTTAGGTTTTGAAATACAATAAAAATTTATGTAAAATTTTGCTACTCATACCTTTTTTAAATCTACATATCGTTGCGTACCTTTAAACAATGGCTATGGTTCCAGCAGTATTGAAAATATCGTCAAATCAAGAGATATTTATTTGTATCAAAAAAATTCTATCTACTTCTACGCATAAAATCCAAGTGCGACCATACAAACACTTCTGTAGTAACTAAAAACTAATTTAGTCTGTTTATTTCGTATTTAACATCGAGATACTGTAACGTTTTACAAGTGATTCTTTCGTTCTGCAACATTATATACGTATCGGGGCTGCCAGTTTTGAAACTGCGTCGCAGACGCGCCAAAAACTAAAATTAATCCTAAAACGATATAGGAATTTTTTATGAGGTCGAACGGTAAACGACGAATTTAATTAATTTTCGTCTGTCTTTATGTCTGTAGTGGTCCCACTTCTGGGCAAAGGTCTCACCGCAGATTGGAAGACTTCATAATATATGAGTTTTAAAATAATTAGATATGTAGACATCGTCTATGATGTAGATGTTTTACTTCATCGAATAAAATGTAATCTAACACGACACGATACGTATTTAGTCACTAATTGTGTCAGTTTTATTGTTACTATCTGCGAACATTGTAACGTATGCAATTGATATATAAATAAATATGATACAGTGCCGACACTTCATCGAATCTATTCAATAAACCGAACGAAATTAAACTATATAACTTTTCCAACACGTTGACCCCTCAACAACGCACAGACAATAAACGATAACGCTAACTATCGTCGAATTCCTTCTTACTGACTGGCAAATCAACTCACTCGACCGGTCATTCGATTAAGTAACTTATCGCTTGGTAACAAAGTCCACATTCCAACTGTCGGCGATGTCTCACAACACCTACGGTATGCGCACCGACTGTAGAACTTTGCTCGCCTGGAAAGGAAAGACACTCATACAACTTTTTACATACGCGTTTACAGAATTTATACAGGGTCCATAATAATTGAAGGTTGATGAATACTCAAGTGTAATTTCGTAACACTTTTCTTTATTCTTTCTTCCCGTTGTTTTATTATAGGTACATTCAAAGTGGGGTACATGATTGGTGCATTTGTTTTGGCGTTACAAAAGTTGCGGTAAACAGAAGCGGAGATGGATATTGAGAAGCGAAACTGAAGTAGAGGTCTGTTGTTGTAAGTCTCAATGACCACTGCGGCCTAGAGAGAGCTCTTGTATCTTGTATTAACTCATGTTAACGCTTACAGTCCCGGTACTATTAATCAATCATCGAACTTGGAACCGGTGGGTTAGCCAGAACCCACGGGTTTGAGGCCCTCCGCAGTGGGTAGGGCCGCGCCTTTGCTCATGTGTGCGTTAGCTAAGCAGTGTCGTCTACGGGCTATCGGAGATCTATTGTAGTCTCCCTCCGAAAACATTGCCTGTGTTTTACATGCATAAATTTCTCCCCAGAACCAAAACACCCCGACCAAAACAATAATTATCTGTGGGTCGCACAAATTGTTGTCTCGAGTGGGAATCGAAACAACGACACCCCACGCCGAAGGCAATACCTCGGCAACTGCGCCGCGGAGTCATCAAAATGCGTCACTAGTAAGTAAGTAGCGTCACTAGTAGGTGGCCAATTAAAATATGTAGAAAAATGGTGATGCGTTGACAACCTTTTGAAAATTGGCCAGGTGGCCAATTTTCAAAAGGTTGTCAACGCATCTGGAACCCTCGTGTGTAGCAGATATCCACGTACGGCGGTATTCACTTAACATCAGGTGGACCGTCTGCTCGCTTGGCAACTTTTCATTAAAAAAAAAACTAGGGTAAAATGATGACCTCGTATTCGGCGTCGGTGGCGAGGAGTCCGCTGACGGCGAGCAGCTGGTACTGTCGCGCGCGGAGGGCGCACGCGCCGCGCCGGAGCAGCCGCAGCGCCGCGCCGCCCGCCGCCCCGCCGCACACCACCGCGCGCACCTGTACCACATGCGAATTAACCGCTTTTCCGAACGACTGTACTCTTTCTGTTCCCGCACCGCACTTTGCGCACGACGGTACTCGAAGCCAGTACGGCACACCGCCGCGCGCGCCTCTACCACATGCGAATTAACCGCTTTTCCGAACGACTGTACTCTTTCTGTTCCCGCACCGCACTTTGCGCGCGACGGTACTCGAAGCCAGTACGGCACACCGCCGCGCGCGCCTCTACCACATGCGAATTAACCGCTTTTCCGAACGACTGTACTCTTTCTGTTCCCGCACCGCACTTTGCGCGCGACGGTACTCGAAGCCAGTACGGCACACCGCCGCGCGCGCCGGTAACCGCTTTTCCGAACGACTGTACTCTTTCTGTTCCCGCACCGCACTTTGCGCACGACGGTACTCGAAAGCCAGTACGGCACACCGCCGCGCGCGCCTCTACCACATGCGAATTAACCGCTTTTCCGAACGACTGTACTCTTTCTGTTCCCGCACCGCACTTTGCGCGCGACGGTACTCGAAGCCAGTACGGCACACCGCCGCGCGCGCCTCTACCACATGCGAATTAACCGCTTTTCCGAACGACTGTACTCTTTCTGTTCCCGCACCGCACTTTGCGCGCGACGGTACTCGAAGCCATCGCTTTTCCGAACGACTGTACTCTTTCTGTTCCCGCACCGCACTTTGCGCGCGACGGTACTCGAAGCCAGTACGGCACACCACCGCGCGCACCTGTACTAAATGCGAATTAACCGCTTTTCCGAACGACTTTACTCTTTCTGTTCCCGCACCGCACTTTACGCTCGACGGTACTCGAAGCCAGTACGGCACACCACCGCGCGCACCGGTACCAAAAGCGATATAACCACTTTTCTAAACGACTGTCCGCCAGCAAGTACTCAGCCTTTTTTTTCCTGCACCGCACTTTGAGCATGACGGTACAGGTACAGGTACAGATATAAGTACCTACTTGAAACCAGTACGGCACACCACCGCGAGCACACGTACCAAAAGCGAATTAACAACTTATCTAATTGACTGTCTTGCCAACACGTATGCATTAATTTTGTTCCTAAATCACACTTTGAGCACGACGGTACAGGCGATTTATGTACTCCAAGTACGGCAAACCACTGTGCGCGAAGCGAATTCAGTACTTTTGTAATAGACTGTCCGCCAGCAAGTACTTCTGTCTTACGTCTTTCTGTTCCTGCACCGCATTTTGTGCACGATGGCACACTACGTCGGGTAGCTGGTAGATTGAGTGCGACAGTACAGGTAACTTGGGTCCTTATGGCGGATCGCAATTAACACCTGTTTGCGACGGTAGCATTGAATAGGTATAGCAACTAAGATCCCCGAACCAAATAACATTGATCCCTTAAACGCGACGGTACAGGCGAGTGAGACCAACCGATTTTACTTGTAGACTTGTACTTATACGTAACATGAAGTGCGTAGCCTTTATGACGAATTGCAAGCATTGGTTTCACGTGTGTAATGGATCCTAAGTTTAAACTGATTTTAGCTGCGCATGGACATATACTACTCCTATGGGATGGCAGATGCGTTGCCACCTTTCAAAAAGTTGCGCCCTGGTTATCTCACTCATCAGACGAAACGCGAATGTGTAATACTTTTACTTCAAAACGTGAGGCCGTGGTACTACATTCGTGCAACGGAAGATGCTGCCTGAACCTACCACTTGAAAAACAATATCTCAAGCACTATAAAGGTTCACATACAATATGGAATAATCGAATTTGGTCCTTCAAACCGGATCATAAACTTTATTTTGACAAGTCTAAGGTACTTTGTGAGCATAATACTCAGAAACTCAGGGTAATAATCAAAATAATGATACTCACTTGAGCTGGAGAGTGTGATGGATCTAAGACTAGTAAGGTCGCTTTGCCGTCCTTGTGTTTTTCGTAACCTATTATTGTTCTAGAATGACCTGAAAGGCAGATAGATAGTTTACCGTTGATTACATGAAAACTACAATAGGTCCGTCGGTATATTAAAGTGGGCCTTTTTATTTCAAACACACAACATGCATAATAAATTTGCAATGATTTTTAGCAAGTTTGCAATATTACCACTGTGTGTAGCTTCCGTATAGGCCTGCTTAAGATGAGTGCATATATCCTCGATAAATCAGGAGTTAATATATGCAATTCATTTAAAACGATGGATATAGTACTCGTAGAGCGTTATCTCTGTCACACACGACCTATATGTCGTATGTCAGTCGTTGCACAAGTGTGCGACAGAGATGGCGCTCTACGAAGCCGAAATTAACCGAGTATCTCTTTTCATATGGCGATGTACAATTTTTATCACCGATAATGTAATTTCAGACGATGAATATGATTAAAATAAATTACAGTTTAGAGGAAAAGGATTTTCGCTTCAAACACTTCATAAATGTGGAATAATTTATGGAATACAGAACAGAGGTAGCCTTCTTATATTAAGCTTAAGTATTTCATGTAAGCCCGATTAGCTCATTGTCCGGGCACTTTCTTTTAATTCAATATACTCGAGCAACCTTAATTCAATCTTCGGTGCTGGAACCGATGAAATTGTTAATTTTAAGTGCCGACTTATTAAGTGCTCCGCAGTGAAGTATAACGTAGCGAGGTAACCTGCATATTTTCTAAATAACAACAAAAAATATTTCGCGTGGTGAACTCCTAATACCCTCTGTACAGAGGAGGCCTTTGCCCAGCAGAGGGACATACATAGGCTGTTACTTTACTTTATTTCCCATTGAGAAAACTAGCTGGTATAATCTGATGAATTGTTAATACGTTGTCGTCTCACCCTGATGCTGGAGGTAGAGGGGAGGTTTGAACCCGTTGGGGTCCTCCTGGAAGTAGCGAAGGACCCAGTCGAAGAGGGCGGGGTGACTGCCGTCGGGGGACGTCGGCTTGTGGAAGTCGATCAGCTGGCACCTGCGGGCGGTGTGAGAGGGAGATAGAGATGTGGAGAGGGAGATAGAGACAACTAGAGATATGGAAGGGGAAGTTGAGTAATCTAAGCAATATAGAGAAGGGAGCGTAAGAGAAAGGTTCTTTTAAGGCTTCTCCTTTCTCCTACCCTTATCCCACCGAGGCGGGGTCGGTTGTTCACAATATGTGAACAATGTTATTAACGGTATAGACTAGTTTTTTAATACCAGCCGCCTGTCTAATTTAAACCTCCTAGAGGATGTCTCCTCCCAGATCCGAAACAATTATCAATGTGTGGGTCAGACAAATACATACTTAGAATCGAACCTACGACCTTTTAACTTAAGGCGATGGCTTAATACCCTATAAAGACTATTTAGCTTTCGGTGTAAATTGGCATACGAAGATCATCTTACTTTATCCTGAGAGATGAGAGGACGGTGACCACCTCGCAGGCACCTATCCACTTGCGGGTGTTGTGGAGCTTGCAGCCGAGCTGTTCGGAGCCCTGGACATGTCAAACGGTGTCTTACTGTTATTCGTTTGCGCGACAATCGTAAAAAACTATAATAAATAATTATAAATATATATAATAACTATTTAAATTTAACTGATATAATAATATTAATTTATATGCAAAAGATCGTTCATCTCACTTTTGTGGTACAGGTTATATTTGGTAGGTTATAAGGTATGAAACATAAAAAAATACAGCTGAATTGAGAACGTTCTTGAAGTCTACTGAAAATAGTGTGAGCACACACTACTTGCATTCCCTAAACACTTAAAGGAGATAGTATATTGTTTAGTTCATTTTTAATGTGAAAAGTTGTCAAGCGAGATGGCGGTCCACCTTTCAAAAGCGTCGCCAACCCTAAAAACCTGCCAAGTGCGAGTACGACTCGCGCACGAAGGGTTCCGCGCCATTATCTACAGCACGACAAAAAATCATGTCTGTTGTATTGGAGTTCCACTTAAATATTTTTTGTTAAGCATTTGTTGTTATACGGCATCAGAAACACACCATCCGTGAACATTTCCCCGGTCTAACTATCACCGTTCATGAGATACAACCTGGTGGCAGATAGACAGACAGACAGACAGGGGAGTCTTAGTAACAGGGTCCTTTTTCACCCTTTGGGTACGGAACCCTAAAGAGTGGTTTAAACTGGGCCCATTTGTCATCATCGAAGCCGAGCTGCCAGGCGCGCTCTTGTGTAACCATCACGGTTAATGAGATACAGCCTGGTGGCAGAAAGACAGACAGACAGTGCAGTATTAGGGTCACGTTTCATCCTTTGAGTACGGAACCTTAGAGTTGCTAAAAAGGGGTTGAAAGTGGGCCCATTGTATCACCTGCTGCTCGCTCTTGTGTAACCATCACGGTTCATGAGATATAGGCTGGTGACGGATAGACAGATAGTGGAGTCTTAGTAATAGGGTCCCGTTTCACTCTTTGGGTACGGAACCTTAGGGTTGGTGAGAAGGGGTTGAAAGTGGGCCCACTGTATCAACTCCTGCTCGCTCTTGTGTAACTATCACGGTGCATGAGATACAGCCTGGTGACAGACGGACAGACAGACAGATAGCGGAGTCTTAGTAATAGGGTCCCGTGCTACCCATTGGGTATGGTACCGTAAATTGGTTGAAATTGAGCCGCCCACATCACCTGGGTGTCGAAGCCTAGCTGCCAGGCGCTATCACGGTTCATGAGATACAGCCTGGTGACAGATGGACAGACAGACAGATAGCGGAGTCTTAGTAATAGGGTCCCGTGCTACCCATTGGGTATGGTACCCTAAAGTGGTTGAAATCGAGCCGCCTGCATCACCTGGGTGTCGAAGCCTAGCTGCCAGGCGCTATCACGGTTCATGAGATACAGCCTGGTGACAGATGGACAGACAGACAGATAGCGGAGTCTTAGTAATAGGGTCCCGTGCTACCCATTGGGTATGGTACCCTAAAGTGGTTGAAATCGAGCCGCCTGCATCACCTGGGTGTCGAAGCCTAGCTGCCAGGCGCGCTCCACCAGCAGCTGGAGCCTGGGGATCGAAGGCACGCACTCGCAGTCGCGGTCCACGGCGCCGCCCAGCAGCCGCGCGTACTGCGGGTGCTTGATTAGAGAGGAGAGCAGCATCTGCATGTTCCTGCGGGAGAGGGACAACATGCATTCCAATGGATCCAGTTAAAGTTAACAAAACTAAACAGTATTGATTATAATACTTGTTATCACTGCATAGTATAAAACAGAGTCGTCCCGCTGTCTGTCTGTCTCTATGTATGCTTAGATCTTTAAAATTACGCAGCGGACCTTGATGCGATTTTTTTACTAGATAGATTGACAAGAGGAAGGTTTATGTGTATACATTCCACCCGTGGGAAGCCGGGGCGGGTCGCTAGTGCATAATAAATGAAACTAGTTTACGGATTTTATCGCGTTCTAATTCTGATTTCTAATTCTCAACGTTTTGAACCTTTTCCAGCATTCATGGCGCTGTGAAAAACGTAAACTAGTTTCACTTAAAAGTATCAGACCCAATAAATTCCCATAGAAGTAAGGGAAGACTAAATGTAGATAAACCAAGTTATTATTGCACTGATAAGTATTGTGATGGGAAGTTTTAACATTATCAAGAGATTTGCCTGTTATTTTATAAGCGCAGGGTATTGGTGATAATGTTGCATTAATTTCAAAAACAGCAATTTAATTCTTTGACAAACCCACCTAAAAAGAGTAAAAGTGAGCTTACATGTCATTATTTTTTTAAACTATGTGCAAACATTATCATGAGAAAATATTTTCTCTGTACATGTTGTTTTTAACTTTAGGGCATTGCAAACAGAATTGTTGATGCTTTAGGCAGTTTACGTAAGGTAAATATTTAAAAATATGTATTTCTCACCTGTAACCACAACCCCAACCCCTGTCACCATAAGTGCTAGCGTAGTGGTCCACAGCACTGCAAAGATACGTTTTAGCGATGGTAGGGTTTTGAGCATTCAATTGAGCTATCCTTTCAAGGATTCCTGAAACACATACATCATTAATTACATAAATATTTTAAAATATATTTTCACAGAACATTTGTTAGTCCCAAACTGGGTACTAGATAACTGCTAAGCATAATTTTCTTTTCTAAATAAATACATGTTAGAGAACATACCCATGCTATGTAATCCGTTCAGGAGGGGGGAGGGGGGTAAGCAAAATACCATGCTTAGTCACAGGGAGGTGGGGTGGTCTCAAGCTATATTTAAATATGACGCTCATAAAACTTTACATGTTCACAAAGACAATAATACAACATATTATTAGATAAAGCGATAGCTTATTGTATTTATGTATTTATACTTTCAGCTTACAATTTGGTAAATGGTTTTAATTACACACCATTTGTCCTAGATGAGCCAGTATCCCTGCCAGTGGCGGAAGCACGACGTAGGCCAACACTGCGTTCATAGTACCCTGCTACTGATAAGGCTCCACTATACACAGCTCGCTTCAAGCTGTTTGTCGCTCGGTTTGTATACCCTTCATCGTCCTCTTCTTCCATGCCATACTGTGCCTGCAGATTAATTTGTTGAAATTTTAGTAAAAATATAAGAGAGGGATTACGTCTGCTGGGGAAAGTGAGATATACATGTTAAAGTTATTTGAATTTTATGTTAGTTTTAATTTTCTTTGTTTGGATATTTTAAAATGAGGAAATATTGAATTTAAAGCTGAAACATTCATTAATATTGATTAAAGCAACATAAAATAATTTCTTCATTCTATGTCCAACCAATGTTTTACTAAATAAAGGTTCTCAATGTTAACATTGATGAAAAAATTAAAAGGAAAAAGTAACACAATCTGGAAAAAGACTGGCGTCGCATATAAGTGTTATGCTTCTGAATTTTATCTAGTAAATGCAGTACTGGGGCCCACTATATTAAAAGGCGGGAATGGATCTGCAACCATACGGGTTTTGCAGATGTCCATGTTTAGCAGTTATCATTTAATATCAGGTAAAGTTTGCTTGCAACCTTCTCACATAATTAAAATTGTCATATTCTCATTAATTTTACACTAATTAAGTCTTTATTTTATATAATAAGGTAGTATACACAGTAAGGGAGTACAAAAAAAATTAAAGGAATCCATTATACAAAAAAAAAAAAAAAAACAAAATGGATAGAAATTAACAGAAATATCTTTTTAGCTCTTGCTCTTTGCATTGTTACATAAAACAAATTTAAGATTGTAAGTCTTGAAATTAAGTCTTAAATGACATGTCAAGCCCAGTTTCAATTACAATCTTACCCTTAAGAGTTGAAACTCATGCTCCTCTCTATTCCTTTGAGCTTCTCTTTCAGCAGCTGATAATGTAGAAGCACCATCTTCTCCCTTCTCAAAATGTTCTTCAATATGCTGTATCTAAAGAGAGATTTTTATTTATGCATTAAAATTAAGGCACTATTTTTTTTTTCTTAAAATATAGCTACAAGGTTATTTTAACTAGGAAACTGCCCTAATACTAAATAAGAATCTTATTCTGTTTGGTCGGAGTTCTTCCATTTGTGGGAGACACATTGAGTAAAAATCAATTATTCTCGCATTCATGTTGTTATAAAACTTACCAATTCATGTTCCGATAAAGGCAAAGGCTGGCAGCAAACTGGACAATTACTAACAGGGCTTTCCTCCATCATAACTACATCTTCACATGAAGCATTATCTAGTGGATCCTGTAAATGATAGTTAAGCAAGCTGATATATTTAAAATGTTGTTAAATTGAGAAATGTTTCTTATCGTATTATAAATAATCTTAATAATATGAAAACGAAATGTAGTTGTTATTTTAATGATTTGCTTCATTTCTCCTACCTACGATTTAATTTCTTTTGTTGTTTGAGTAGTGAACGTTTTACATGAATATAATATAAGTATTTTCGATCCTCTTTATTGAAATTGATGATGTTAAACAAGTTTTTTATAATTAACAAAATATGTGTGCATGCTTACCGATTTCTGCGGACTTAATATATCTCGGTGTTCGACATTAACATGCACTTCCACTTCTGGCCCGCTGGCGAATTCCTTTTCGCAAATCGGACATTGAAACGAAGAGGCATGAGGGCCTGGTGACATGGCCATTGCGCTTAGAGCTAAAGTGGGGTTGTCTAAAGTCAGAGTAGCGTTGCCCAAGCCCAGCGTAATGTTCTCAGTGATATTAACATTAGCGTTTGCATTTGAGAGCACAGAAGGTGATGTAAGATCAAAATGAGCTCTGTTTATATGTTCTTCCAGTTTTCTTGGACATGTTGACTTGAAATCGCATAACAAACACTGTAAAATAAAGAACAACAAAGGAGCATTACCTAATTTGATTTCGAGTCTCTTTTATCATTTTTGTTTAAAATTGTTACTAACTTTTTAATCTTAATAATGAGTTTGAAATTTGAAATTTTGAAAATAACTTTGAAATAATTTTGACAGTTTTAAGTCTGTGTTGCCTAATTTTCTTCGATTATTCTTCACTTGTACTAAACTATAAATACGAATATAAGAATATATAGTATATAATACGAATAATATAGGAAACATATTTTCTTAGGCGTAACACATTAAAATAAATGTGTTATTTTTTTATTTTGTTAGAATATAATCAATTAAAGCAATTCGAAACATTTTTGAAGTTATACTTCTTTAGGCGCGTCATGAAAAAATGACCAGAGTGAAATTTTAAGACGTAACATAAAAGTCACACCTTTGAAGCTGCCCGCAAATTTTTATACATGGCATTATCTATTCTCAATCACATTCGCCCGTTACAGTTCTCAATAAAGAATGTAGATGGCGCTTTCATAATTTTAGTATTTTTATATCCTTTTCCTGTCTTTTTATTACTTTATTGTAATTAATTATTTGCATGCAATTCAAAACTATTAATGCTGACAAAGAAGTATAACTTATACATAAGTATGTACGCGCCTGAGAAGTTAATTCAAAACTATTTTTAATGCTGACAAAGAAGTATAACTTATACACAACGTGTATATGTACGCGCCTGAGAAGTTAATTTAAAAAAATGGGTGCGTGTATATGCACCCATTTTTTTAAACTGAAGCTTTATAAAGATTAAGGTTGAATAGAATAGAGTAGCTATTACATAAATACAAAAGATATTGAATACAAAATATGAACTTAATTTTACGAACTAAACAATTAGGAAAATTTAATTACTTTTCGTAAAGCAGGAATTCAATAAAATTAACGACTCAGTCGTAAGACATGCTTTTAAGTTTAAATTTTCTATACACACGTTACATTGACATTGTAAATAATCCTAACTAATATTATAAACGCGAAAGTTTGTATGTATGGATGGATGTTTGTTACTCTTTCACCCAAAAACTACTGAATAGATTTTAATTAAACTTTACAATAATATAGCTTATACATCAGAATAACACATAGGCTATAATTTATAAAGATATCGTGTGAATTATCCAAAATATAGTTAATGATAAGTGTCAACTAAGTAGGAAAAAATTCTGCCATCTGCGAGATATTCTGGTGTTAAATAAAAAACTCACTGTTAAATTCCTTTGGCCGCGCGGGCGAAGCCGCGGTTAACACGTAGTATATAATAATGTTAACACTTTAGTATCTAGGTTACCTTGGCATATAAGTTGGGTATCACGTTAGTTATAAAATTCAGTCCCGCACGCGAATGAATAATTACCACACAACTGTATAAATTGCAAAAAGTAGTCTAATTCCATATTTACTTACGTTAAAAAAAAACTTAATACTATTTGTTTAGAATTTGCTATTCAAGTATTAAAATGTTCAGACTGGAGGAACTATGTCGTAATGATTCTGGGGGTAGACCATGGGCTCTACCCCCAGAATCATTAGTCCAATCAGTGTTTCGCATGGGCCAGCCGGTAGTGATCTTCAAGCTAATCCTGACCACGGCAGCGATATAACCTTTTCTCCATTAAAACAAAAAAAAAAAATAACGGGATGAGATTTGTTAGAAATATAAGTACATACAGAGCGTAAAAAAAATCATTAGAACTAAATGAGATGTACATTTAGCTGGCATTTGATTATTTATTCAGTTACAGCCCAACTAGAAAATTGAAACAATTTACGGAGATGACATATCCGCTTCCCGCTTTGGATTCTGGATTATTAGAAAAAAAAATGTTTTATTTAAGGAGTGTAGAGATACCTAAGAAGTAGTATCTCAATTTGTAATAAATAGAATAAACTAAGATGGCGTATCTGTAGCATTTGAAAGAAAGCACCAAAAATTATAAGAAACGAATAAAATAAAAAATTTAAAAAAAATACTAAAGTAAACGAATTTTAAGATAACTAAACGTTTTATATGTTTACGATGTTTGATATTTTAAATATGGCACCTTTTTAATACGCATTAAATGTAAATAGAAGTTTTTAAGGTAAAGTAAAAAAAAAATATACCTGAACGGTAGGGCTAGGTGTGGGTGGAATTTTTTTAGGAGCGTTCGCCTTTAGCTTTAATGCAAGCTGAGATCTGAGTGGTGATCCTTGACCTGCACTTGCCATTGATAACTAGAAAAGAGCATTTTGTTTTATTTTACTTCCGTACACAGCAATATCTATTTTGGTTTTAATGCAAGTAATATTTTAAAGTAAACTACAAACCTTATTTTTATTTGGTGACCCTTCATAATTATCATTATTATGACTGGGACTGCAATTTGAACCTGTAAACATTTTTTCTTTTAACATTTCCCATTAAGCGCACTATCAGAAACAATAACCAAAACTTAGGTATAAAACGAATTAACTATCAACGGACCTCTCCTTTCGTGACCATTCATAATTTCTCCGTCACTTGAATTCTCCCTGCTGTGTTTTTTTTTCGGTATCACCCCATTACTTATATTAATGTTCTTCAGTCCATTACACAGATTACTATTTTTAGGCGAGCGCGAGCGTCTATCGTCGTCCTTTTCACACCTTTGGTAACTTTCCTTTTCCTGATATCCATTATGATAGTTTATGTTTTTTGATATGGCGCCATTATGGAATGATGATGACATATCGGGACTATGCCAACCATTAATGGAGCCTGGCGTATTGTAGCTACAACTGTCGGTTGTTGTCATTTTTGAATCTTCATCGAAGCTGTAATTATGAAATCCAAATTGTATTATGAAATCCATAATAATTTTTTATCATTGGGTATATGGTAGGGCCACATCAGCTTCTGGAGTTGCACGAGTGGGTAGGTACATCCAGGGAAGTACCACGGCCTACTTACGCGCGTCTGGTGAGTGAGGTAGCCGAAGTCCGCTTTTTCAAAGGTCACGCATCTGTAATCTCTCAGGAGTTGTACAAGTCCATGGGCGGCGGTAAAGACTTAACATCAGGTGAACCGCCTGTCGGCTTACTAATTTATCACATGAAAAATGTGAGTTTCAACAAAAATCGAGCCGTGATAGTCATTGTCCAAGCGTTCGTTTTTAATTCAATATACAAGTAACCTGAGTTCGATCCTCGGTGCCGGCACCAATGAAATTGTTAATTTTAGGTGCCGACTTATCACGTGATCAGCGGTGAAGTAAAACAAAGTTAGGAAACCTGCATATTTTCGAAATTATAACAAAAAGGAATATTTCGTAGATATTATGTGAGTCCGTCCACCCGCAGTGGGGTCACGTGGTGGACTATGTCAAAATGTCCTTTGTATAGAGGAGGCCTTTTCCCAGCACCGGGACATATATGGGCTGTTTCTTCACTTTTTACTTTAGTCAACAAAAATACATTACTTTCGAACCAACAGATTTTTATCATATACGAACGAACATGCATTTTGGTAAGGAGTGTTGGCGTCCGGTAGTAAAAATCATAGCCAAAACCGCTTACAACATGATTTACATGTTCTGCCAACCGCACCTAGGAGGGATAAGGGCAGCATGATGATGATAAATTATAAAGCAGACCATGGAAATAGCCAGCATTAATGACAGGTAGAAAAAGTGTGGTAGCCGTAGCCCACTTTTTTAAAGTCTTTAACGCTTCTGTAATCCCTTAGGACTTTTACATGTCCATGGGCGTCGGTAATTACTTAACATCAGGTGAACTGTTTGACAGCTTTCAGTACAGTAGTTTGAAATTTTTATTATTCGTGACCCGGTGAGCGTAAGGTTTTTTTTAAGAGCGAAAGTACTGCATACCTAGGACTCTGGTCGTCGATAAAGGCCATAAGTTCCCTTTCTGGCGTTAAATAATGTAGATGGGCCCGTTGTACGTGACCTATTAGTTGGGTTTGTGGTACGGTGCAGTCGCAGAATGGACAGTCTGGTCTTCCAGCGACGTGGGCTTCTAGGGTATGGGTCCTCATGCCCTCGTCTGTTAAACCCTCTGCCCCACATAACTCACAAGTGTAAGGAAACGGACTGCTCGACATGTTGACAGAAGTAACTGTAACAAAAATCAGATCCATGCCTTTATATTAGTAGTGTAAATAAAAATATTTAAAGATCAGCAGATTTTCCTTATGTAAATAAATATTTTTTTATGTTCTTAAATGAATACACTCCAAATATAATGAGTGTGTATTTAATAATTACGTAATCAAACTTTTATTTGTGTCTGTATTTGTTTTATGAAGAATATTATTACATAATTAGAGAAAGTAAGTTAAATGAATTAAATAAGGCGATAAAATATTATATGCGTTTTGGGTTTGCATTGAAATGTTTCACAAGAAATTAGGGTAAAGTGCCGAATCGATAAATTTACCGCAGTTTTGTTTTCAAGGAAAATGCGACATTATCTGTGTACTACCAGGAAAAGACAAGATCAAATAATGCAATCGCATATCTATATTTACCAAATGAAAAGAAAAATAATCGTTATTAATTCAATTTAGCGCTCAAATAACTTGTATAAAAGTTAATAACCAAGCAAAACATATACTCACATTCCTGTTTCTTATTGTCAATATTAGCGGGAATCCCGATGTAATTGCAACACTATCTAAACGGCTTGTTACTTGTGTTATAGTTGAATAGAAATAACATTTTCTATTAATAAATTGTACATTAAACAGCTAAAGATCACAAATTGTGAACGAATCGCCATTCATGGGAGTCGCAGACATTGGAAAGAAAAAAAAATTACGCATGCGGGAATCTCGCCTTTCGGTTATGCCCCCTAGCGGAATAAGTAGGACACGCGGAAGCAAATTGTGCCGCAGAGGCGCAAAGAGATACAAAAATATGGTGCGAAGCGCTTTTAACCGCGGTAGGCTTTTAAATTTTATCCTACTTAATGAGCATAATAAATATTAAGCGTTAATATGTGGTCAGCCTATGCAAGTATAGTGAAATATTTAATAATAATAAAATAGTACAATTTGGTCAAAGTAAAGTGTATCTGAATACTAGTACATAGATTGATAAATGAAACTTCTGTAGGCAAAAATAGACGATTTTCAGAATAAGCGCGCCATCTTTTGTACTCCACACAAACCTTCTTGTAACAGAGAGCGTTTGATTACATTTCCCTTTACCGCAACTCTGATAGAGGACGTAATGTTTCTTTGTTGATAAACCGAGATATCAGCCAGTAAAAATATCCAATTTTTTGTAGATTCTTGGTAATGCGAATTAAAATTTATAAAAGAGTTTACGTGAACTAATATCGTGAACTAACTATATAAAGCGTTGGAGTATGCCACATATCCGCTAGAAACATTTGAAGATTTATTAAATTATTTCTCAATTCTTTTTAAAACAGCAGGAATAAAAATCACCAAAACAGAGTACACAAAGACTTGGAACGACTGTATACGGTTCATTCAATTTTTGGGTCGTGTAAGGGTTGCACCAACTAATTGCAATCGTTAAGGTGACAACCCGAAAACTCGGTTTAGCACTTTTCTTTTAACTTTTTAAATACTAAACGATTAGACTTGATGATGATGATTCGGCAACGAAGTTATTAAGACCTTTTCTTCGGCGTCGGAGGGTCGTGGGTTGGATTCCCATACGGGCGAGTATTTGTGCGACCCACAGATAATTGTTCTGGAACTGAGTTTGAGTTTATTTCCATGGTGGTTTACAATATGAAGGGCGGGAGATGAAAATGTAAGATTAGACATTCCACGTCGGAAATTAATTAACATTCCCTAAATCCATATACATGTCATATCATCCATAGTTTTTCGGCTGACAAAGTAAATTATTGAGCTCTCTGCGATCCATACACATACCGGAAAAAACGTGCCAAGTGCGAGACGGCCCCGCGCAAAAAGGGTTTCGTACCATTATCTACAAAAACACCAAAAAATCATTTTTGCTGTATGAGAGCACCACTCAAATATTTTCATTATGTTTTTAGTGCTTATTTGTTGGTATAGCGGCAACAGAAATACATCATTGTAGAAAAATGTCAACTGTCTAAATATCACGGTTCACGAGATACAGCCTGGTGATCTACAGATCGACAGACAGCGGAGTCTTAGTGATAGGGTCCCGTTTTACCTTTTGGGTACGGAACCATATAAAGGAAGGCAATAACACAAAGGTATAAATAAAACAATCGACTCGTTCCTCGCTGTACCGATAATATTGCGGCAAGCAGTTTCCCCCAGAGGGCCATAGTCATCGTATAAAAATGGAAAAATATATTATTTTATTTGACTCCGTCGACGACGAGGTTAAATTTGCATAAAGATCCAATTTGTATGCCGCACCGTGTAAGACGTTGCTCGGAGGCTCTCGCGTCTTCGTTTGTACTGAGGTTTCGCTTCGCTTTCTTCTAATCGAAATATGAAAATTACGGAAATTTAAATTAAAACAAAAACGATTGAACGCCAAATCGACGTTTAACTATGTTCGCTTTAGCTATCGATTATATTTTATACGATTGGCTTAACTAAATATAACTTGATATTTGACATAAATGAGAACTAGGACGATTATTACTGTTAACATTAGTATACTTTTTTAGTTTATTTTTAAAGGACGTTTCCCTTATTGTAGGATTACATTATCCTGTGTTGTTAGGAAGTTTTACATACATAAATTTCAGTCGGACAAACATCCGATGGAAGATAAAAATAAAATGAAGAAAAGACACAAATGTTATTACTACGTTCCAATAACTTATACAAAGTCATTATTAAAGTTATAACTCATCTTCTGCGTATCGAACCATTGAAACAATAATCAGTATCATTTAGGGAATTATGTCCTATTGCGGGAGTAGTTTTATTATTAATCATATACTTACTTCAAATATTTGACAGTGCGAAAACCATATTTGTTATAACTCCCTGACGAATACTTATAACTAAATACTTAATAAGCAACGTTTTATCGTGTAGATGTTTCTACTTGCCAACAGGAATTCAAGTGATAATTCCGACGGGAAAACAGTATTTGTATGAATTTTTTTGTGTGAGAAGTGAGATGGCTGTACACCTGATGTTTAGTGATAACCACCGCCCATTGACATTTGCTACACCCGTAGGGTTGCAGGTGCCATGCAAAATTTTTATAAAGTGGGCCTCGGCTACCTCACTCTCCAGACGAAACACAGTAGTATAACGCTTCCACTTCACGTCGGTCTTCTGTGTGTTCGTGGTAGTTCTATCATTTTAGGGTTCCGTGCCCTAAGTGTGAAACAGGACCCTTTTACTAAAACTCCGCTGTCTGTCTGCCTAAAAAACACAATATAACGGTAAAAATATAACTAATATATAACGGTAATCATGTCTTTTGTATGAGAGCCCCACAAATATATTTAAGTGGGGCTCCCATACAAAAGACATGATTTTTTTTCCGTTTTTATAGATAATGGTACGGAACGCTTCGTGCGCGAGTCCGACTCGCACTTGGCGGGTTTTTTTTATAGACTTACACTTATCGCTGAAGAATTCTCATTACAGTGAAAACAGTGTTCATCAAAACTATTATAATATTGCGAATTAGCATCTACAACATTTTGTTGGAGGTGACAATCTCAGTGGATTGTCAATTTGTGTTGCAGAAATTCTGCTTATATGGGTATGGACCTCAAGTCTTGCAACTTCCTTATATGCAAATTAGTAACCATCCGTTTGACCTCATTATGTACGGCCGAAATAGCTCAGTGGCAGAGCGTTGAGACTCATGATCTAATGGTCCCCGGTTCGATTCCGGGATTCGGCGTGGCTTTTTTTTTACATTTTATTCGACTCATTTCTCTTTTTTTTATGAATTTCGTCCTGGAATTTTGTTTCCCACTATTTCTTCTTGGGTGTTCACAAGGTGGGATGTAGGCGCCAGTAAATTCTAGAAATTTTCTTTTGCTACAAAATCTTTATGTATAAATAATGTAAGTAGAGTGTGGTCCGTTACAATTTTAAACAAGGAATGTCGTCTCTCTACACCGTATATCGTTGCGTAGCACCCAAAGCTAGAAATTCAGTCAAGATTGGGAGATTTCAAGAACCGAGAAATAATCAAGTCTGCCGCTTCGTGGACTATTTTTAAAGCTAGGCCATTGCTCGAAAAAGAAACATTAACTCAATAATCGTTAAAAAAACAATATTTTGTTTAACTAATTAATATTGATTAATGATGTTGAACGTATTTGTATTGATATCACGCATGAGTATGCTGATGACTTCGCGATGATGACGTACGTGATATTAAGACACATTACAATGATATTAAGTTTTTCGACAATTGAACGAAAAAAATAATCGTATCTCTACTTATGTAAGTAGAGTAAGAGTAATGTAAGTAGTAACCTAAGAAGTTATACTTCCTTAGCGTAACAGAAGAAAAGTAATCCAAAATTTTATCCCCTCTGCATATAGGGATAAATTACGGACGATTTAATTAATTTTTTTTAATTAAATATTTTTATAAATATTCTTTTAGTACACATTATACAGAACGTTATATAATCACCCAGACACTAGAAAAACATTACGTCCGTCACACAATATTTTCCAGTAGTGGGGATCGAAACCACACCCTTTGACGCAGGAGGCCGCACACTATCGACTACGCCATTCGGATCGTCAAAACGAATAGGTAAACATGAAAAAGTTGTTATTTGTTTGTATGGTAATACCGTAAAGTTGGTCGCTTTGCAAGCAACTTCATCATGTCAATGTCGGTGTGCGCGCGCATAGTAAAAATGCTACTCTCACAATTCATTCCAAACGCGCCAAAGTATAGCTTCAAAATTACATTTTTAAATATAAGCTAAATTCATTTCTCATCAAATCGGCACTATAATGCTAATAATTACTTTTAAAAGTTTCAAACAGCGTACTCGATAAATATTAAACACGGTACATGATTTAAAGAAAGCCTCGTTTACGAACACGAATTACGTTAC